CTCTCTGGGACTGTGTCCCCAGACCCGATATCCAGAAGCAAGTGCGGCTATGGAGAAAACACCAGCTTGCCCTGAGCCCTGGGTTTAGCCCTCAGTTCGCTAGCTGTGTGACCTTGGGCCAGTTAATTTCGAGGGTCCCTCAGTTTATAAAGTGAGGCCAACATCTTGGAGCTGCCATAAAACACTGTAAATTGAAATAATCCAGGAACTATTTTTAAAAAGAATCGTGGATCTGGCTGGAAACCCACAGAGGCCGGAAGGCACAGAGAGCCTGCAGAAAGACTAGGGAACAAGGCCAGACCTGCTGGGCCAGTGGGAGGGACCTGGAGCAAGTCGCTGCCCAATTCCCACTCCCACCCTTTTCCTCACCTCAGTATCTCAGTTGTCCTGGGGGCTAACCAGGGAAGGCACCAGAGAGCAGGGCCAGCAGGGCAGGGTAGACTCAGCACTGGCCAGGGATGACCAAAACGTGGGCAGAATAGGGAAGACCACAGTGGTGGAACCAAGATCAGAGAGGGAGCACGCAGGCATGCCAGGCCTGACCACCAAACCCAACCCAAGAGGTCCCTGACCAGGGAGCTGGTTCCCCAGTGTCACCTGGTGACCACAGGCAAGCTGCAGCCAGAACGGTACCCCAGTCTCTTAAAGAAATAGTCCCATCAACCATGGCCCTTGGTTGTAACTGCTTTATTTCCATCATATTCCTGATCTAGTAGCCCCCCAAAATCCAGCAGCAGAGAGGTGGGAGGAGGTGGGATGGGCCTGCACCCCACCTAACACTAGGTTACCTCCTAACCCACACTGGCAAGGACAACTTCATAGGAGGCAGTACTCAGAGACCCCTGGAAAAGGGCCAGCCAAGTCCCCCAGCCCGGGCAGGTGGTGCTGTAGCTGGGGAAGAGTCTGGCTCAGACTGACTCATGCCCCTCCTCCCTGCACAGTGCTCTTTCTTTTCCTGATAGGGACTGGGATCCAGGCTCAGTGCCCCAGCAGCCTCAGCATCTCATGAGGATCCACCAGCTTCTCCCGGGGCTTCCCAGCACCCTGTCCCCGGGAAACCTCCTCAGCATCCAGCTTTTCCCAATCTGAGAAAGAGACTGGTCGGACACCTGAAGTAGAAGAAAGAGAAGTCAATATTGCCACCTCCTCCTTTATCCCCTCCAGAGGACCCTCCTCCCAGAGAGAGAAGCCATCCTCCCACTCCCCAAATCTCAGCATCAGGGCCCAGACCTCGGCTGCTCAGTAGGGCCTGGATGGCTGCGAAGCCCGGCCTGGGGCCTGAGGGCAGCAGCCCGGCCTTCAGGTCCTGCAGCAGCATCTGGCTAGTGAGGAAGCTGTCCGTCATGGTAGTGGTAATGACACCTGTGGGTCCCCTCTTCACCCAGCCACTGCAGTAGAGGCCTGAATGGGGAAACAAAGGAAGGGGACATGGCTGGACACTGCTGGACAAGCCTGTGTCCCAACCTATACGCATATGCACACGCAGATATACAACCGAGTCCCCCAGAAGACCCACCAGCTGGGCCCATTATGGCCACTAGTCTACCACCTTTAATTCTTCTCAACCTGCTTTTGCCATGTTTTTGCCCCTCATCCCTAGGGCCTGTCCACCCCCAGTCCAGAGGCCTTTAGTAACTGTTACTGAATGAACGCACGTGGGTACTTAGACTGGAAGCTGAGGATGGGGGCGCTCATCTCTAACCTTAGCACTGAGCACAGGTCCGACCCAGACCAGGCTTTGGTGAAGGTTTACTGGA